GCGGGGAAGGGCACAGGGAGAGGGCAGAGCATCACCGTGTCCACATCCCAAGGTGGGGTTTTTGGGGTTTGTTTTTTTTTTAACCTTCGGAGGGACCATCTCTGCCCCATCTTCGATCTGCCCAACTCCCCGGAGCCGATTACAGCGAAAGGTCAGAGCTGTTATCTGCGGGTGCCCAACTTCCACATTTTCATAATGCAACTTTCTGGTATAAACTGCTTTGGTGGGGGGCAGGGTGTTCTGCAAAGGGCAGGGAGAAAAGTCTTGATTGCCGGGATGGAGAAGATGAGAAAAAATTCCCTCCCTGGCTTTCCCACTCGGGGAAGGGACCAGCTCTGCTCTCCTGACCCAGGGTCTGTGCTCCTCAGCCATCCCTGCCGGCATCCCGCCGGCCACCGGCACGGCAACAGCCCAAAACCAGAGTCATTTCAGCCTTCTACGTGCTAAGAACTGCAGTTCTGCTCGTCTAGAATCATGATAAGAGAAAAGGAAAAAAAAAAAAAATTATAAAATCTCCATTTTCAGATAACGCTTAAAACATTGCTCTTAGCAAACTTGAGTCATTTGTGGCTTGTTTCCTGTGAGATACTAAAAATGCCACCGTGTGACGCCCTGGGCGAACCATGGGAACTGCTGCTTCTGTGGATTCAATCCATCCATTCCATGGCACATCCGATGTTTTCTATGGTCCATTTTCTCTTATTTTCTACTGTTTTTCTTTAAGAAACCATAATCCAAGCTCCTAGGTATATGGTGTCCGGGTTTCAACTACAAAGTTGTACTCATCTTTCTTTATTTACTTACCTTGTGTTCTAGTGACTGAAGGGCTGGCTTAGAAATCTAGGGACATCAAAAAGCTAATGCATAAACCAGGAATTCTGTTCCATGTAAACATCCTCCGGGCTGTTCCGGAGCTCAGGGCTTTCAGAGAGACCTGGCTTCTGATTCCTGAACGCCCCTAAGATCAAATATTTTGGGGCACATCTGAAGTTCCCAATAACGGCCAATAAAGGATAATGAGGTGCATTTCCTTCTATTGGAAAGCTCTCAGAGCTTGGCAGAGCAGAGCCCACGTGTTCAGAAAGGGAATATGGGGCCCAAAAGAATAAACTGGGATAAACTGGGGCCTAAAATTGCATAGAGTTCCCCACGATTTTAACGAAAACTCACAGAGCTGGCAGGAGGGGGATGTTATGACACAACTTGCAGGGCACAGCAGTTTAAGCCTAGAAGAGTGAAAACCAGGATGGAATATAATCAGATAATATCTCAGGGCTCAGCTTGCCTAAATGAAATAAAAAACCTGCAGCATCAGTTTCTCAGCACAGAAGTTCTTGACCACTGATCGTTTCTCCCTGCTGAAGAAAGTAATTTTTTGCCCAGAAAACCGCTGACCCAGTAAATAAGCGGTAGTAATATCATTTTTTTCCTGTTGCCTGCTAGAAATTGGGAGCAGTCTGATCCTTCTCCACCAGTGCAGGTCTCCTCTGCCCTCCCCCCCCAGCCTCAGGCAGGACAGAGTGACAGAAACAAAGCGTTGAGGGACTCTGTGCTAGAGAGAGAACCCAATAGCGTATGAAAAAACTTGGGGCTCCCCTCTGCCAGATGTTGAACACCTTGGTCATCATCCAGCAAAGCATAAATATATGTATAAGTATATATATATAAAGTATATATACATCTTCCTGCCACCAGCCACAGGTTTAAAATTCAGCAAGTGCTTAAAGGATTATTCTAATGGTGTTTTTTATCAACTTCCCTGGGGTTTGGATGAAGCCCTGAGTGGCAGCCCCAGGTCACTGCAAACCCTGCAGAACTGAGCTCAGGCACCTCTCTTTTATTTTTTCACTGATTTTTTTTTTTTTTTTTGAAGAACTTGTAAAATTACACAAAACAGCCAAAGAGGAGGATACTTTAAGAGAGTAGCTTTGAAGAAAATTCTTGCTTTATCCCCAGGTATTACCGGAACCATCCTAGATATCAGAGCTTTTTAAAAAGGGAAAAAAATACCACGCGTGATAGTCAGTTCTAATATTTCTTTTCATACAGGGATGTGTAAATCCCAAATAATCGTTTGAGCTGTGTTGGCATAGACCCATCCCAGGGGACTCATGTCCTTAGCTGAATGGAAAACACAAGTCCTGCAGTAACATCAGGTAAAATTCTCTGTTAAAAACAGCAGCAAAACTCAAACCCGTTGGGCAAGAGTCTCATCGGTTGGATTGATTCATTTCATGCTGTTCAGAGAAATGACATCCTCGGACTTAAGTCTTCAAATTTACATTTCCCAACGGAAAGTTGATTGCATGTAAAATCCCTCAGGTGTCTTTTCTGGTCCTTTAGCCCTTGGTGAGGCTGAAATTCCCTTTGCTTCCAGCGGCACCAACAGTCAAAGCTCACAAGCTCAGGTTTACAATATGGGCTCGTATATTTTTAGGCTTTCTGCACAGATGCTTTGTGGTCCTGCTGGGGTTCTTCACAAAGTCATAGGTAAAATCAGAAGTTGTCTGTGTTGATTCGGTCACTTACAGTTGTTTAGAGGTAAATCTTAAAAGTCTTGTTGGAAAAAAACATTTTTTTAAAAAAGTGGGAATAAAAGCATCGCTAGATGATGTGGACAAAAGAGAATTACTTGAAAAATATAGTAGGAACTCCTGGGACTTTGTGGGTGTTGGCACCCGTCAGTCGTCACAGACATGACCAGCATTTCTGCAACGTGGTGAATCCAGGCAGCTTTTTGACTGCGCTTCTGAAAAAGTGAAATCTTTTATTATGGAAGAATCGTGTTCTGGGAAAGGTATTTCTCTTGTAAGAACTCCATGGATTGAGACACATGGTGGAGCAATTCATGTTCTCTCTAGAGAACATGAAAGAAGAAAGATGATGTATCTATACAAATGCCAATGTCCTAGTAAAGTAGTAGATGCCTTTACAGTAATGAATACACACAGGGGATACAGAGACTGTCATGTTTATGCATTATTCTTTGAAGAAAAATAAAAAAAAATATTTAGCAAATTTTCGGATGCTTTCATTAACTCCTTAAATTTTAAGCTTTCCTTTTTTCTTTAAAGCAAAAGAAGAGTCAAGTCTTGCTCCTCTCATGTCAGAAGTGGATAAATGACTCCCTTCTTCACGGGGAGAAAAAACAAGGATGCCAATCCCTGTTCTAACTTGACCCATCTTGTGTTTTGCTTTTCCTTCTCCGTCTTCTCACCCGGATGCTTGTCGGAGCACGTTCTCCTTCTCCAACGAGTCTTTCCTCCCCGCAGGGAGCCGGTGGATGAGGTCCTCCAGATCCCCCCTTCGCTGCTGACATGTGGTGGTTGCCAGCAGAACATCGGGGACCGCTATTTCCTGAAAGCCATCGACCAGTACTGGCACGAGGACTGCCTCAGCTGCGACCTGTGCGGGTGCCGCCTGGGAGAGGTGGGGAGACGCTTGTACTACAAACTGGGCAGAAAGCTCTGCCGAAGGGACTATCTCAGGTACCCAACCCCCCTCCTTCTACCCTCCCTCACCATCCTCCCATCATTTCAGCTTCGCTTAGTCATTTAATTAGCCTAGCTAGCGAGCAAAGAGCCATAAAATATGAATTTTTGACTACTCTTAAAGCCCGACAGCCTTAAAGCTCAGATGTACAATACGGGCTTCTATATTTCGGGGGTTGATGGACAGATGCTTTATGGTACTGCTGGGGTTCTTCGAAGTTGGAGATAAAGCCAGAGGTTGCCTGTGTTGATTCAGTCACTTGGAGTTGTTCATAGGTTACATCTTAAAAATCTTGTTGGGAAAAAAAAGCACGTTTTTTACTGAAAATGAAAGTATTGCTACATGGTGTAGGGCAGGACTTTGTAGAGTAG